ATACAATCTATGTAATTCAAAAAAAAAAAAAAAAAAAAAAAGCGGGGTATGGTGTTACTGATAGAGGGTGCTGTGGAGTGAGGAGGAATAGAAGTTTAATAACTTGCCTTCCAATGATAATGCCATGGTGAGACAGAGATAAATACATCTTCTGTTGGTTAAGTGTTCGGCAAATGGAAAGGATTGATGATTGTGAACCAAATCAGGCAAATGGCTGAGGACAACCAGCAACTCTTCTACTTGAAGAACAAGGTTATTAAAGAACAACTTGAAGAATTTTCTGGGATAGTGAATGAGAAGCTGCGGAAGACAGAGGAAGAAAACCGTACTGTGAGGCTGAGATCCCAAATACATCATGTACAGAACAAGGAAGAGGTACTGCTATTAACTAGATATGATTTTGTCTATCATAGAAAAGATTGTGCACCTGAAAACTGATGTTGGCTACTTGATGTTGCTGCGTGCATGTTATGGACTTCCTAATAAAACCTGTTATTTGACTGTTCATGAAAAAGGACATGTAGAGTATATGCTGAGAACCCTTAAAAGTATGACAATTTGTTTGCTCTTATCAATTCCAGTGCTGTACATTGCTGATAGGCTTGGTTTTCCTGCTTTACCTCACTGAAATATCAATGGAGGAGAAAATAAATGAACTTGTAGTTAAAGAGCATGACATATAGCTAGATGTATTCTATGGTTAGAAACGAATTGATAAAAAAAAGAATTGACAGCCTACTGCATCTCTGTAACTATGCTTCAGACATTTATCTCACTTTGGCTGACATGTAATTCTCCTATGATCTCTCTCATGTGGTGGTTGAATAGTTGTTTTAGCATATGAACATTTCATCTGATTTGATGAACTCCAATTATTTTGTCTAGTTGGATTTCCAAGAGCAATTTTTCAAAGAAGGAAGAGGATTTTGAGAAACTGCAGCAGGATAAGCGTCTGCAGGTGAAGGAATTAAATGCAAATCCTTCTAATACCAAAGACCACAGAAGCAGGCATATGATTGCCTTACACTTTTCAGTATCAATTTTGAATTTTGTTATTAGATGCAGGTTCTATATCAACCTGATGGCCATTGTTATGGTGACTTTGATGTAATTGTTAATGCTCCCTTTTTCCTTTCTTGTCATTTTCTGGATATAGAGTGGAAAAGGTTGAGAAATTTAATGAGCTTCAAGACAGAGATGGGGGTGTATTTGGGTGAGAGGGATGACTTTATTAAAGAATATGCTGAGACGCTGACTGCAATGAAGCGCAGGAAGCTTGAAATAGAGAGTTTGATGCTCGACTAGCCAGCCTTGTGAAGCACGCTCCAAACCAGTCAGATGGCACTAGCAATGCCTGAAGTTCCAATTTGAGACTTAGAAATAGAACAGTGGTGTGAACTCTTAATCACAAAGCACTGGGAAACTTTTGAGGCATTTTCATGTCTCTCTTGTGAATACACAACGTGCAAAGAATAGATGGTTTATCACCCCAGGGATAGGAAATACGTGCCAAAAAAAATACATTGGGGGGGGGGGGGGGGGGCTTT